AAAAAAACGTAGTAAAGTGACAATGAATAAAAAGAAGTAAATGATGGCTCGTTTCGCCTCTTTACCAGAGAACCACCATTTCCACGTTCCCCTAAGGCTCGGGACCTTACCAGAATGTCTAACACTGTACTACGTAAAGGTTTCTATGTTAGAACGGCATTATTGGGTCAGCGTTTCGATCTCGTCAAGGACCAGAAAATATTTCGGAGTTCCTGATATGTGGCTTACTCGATCAGACGCCTGAGTGCATCGGATTAGTTACAAAAACTCCCAGGAAGTCCAACGCCAAAAGTTAAAAAGATATTCTCGATACTGTCTATCGTTCCCTCTTTGCTCACGTAATTGAGCGGAACGTGAACGCTAGTGGAACCGCAGGGAGTTGGTTACTTAGCTGCGACCTTTTTGAGTTTGAACTTCTGAGGGTTCCTACAACTACTCCGATACATTTGGGCGGCTGATACAAAACAGATCAGAACTACAAACTTAAAGAGAAAGAACTTTCACGAACTTAGGACGATTTGTCTGAGACGCAGACCAAATAAAGAGGGCCTACCATAACAGGTAGAACATTATGAGGCATGTTTCAACAATTGAAGTATATTTTGAAAAGTAGTCGACCCATATACAAATGGCAATTATAGAACAGATCGATCTGACACTACGAATCGCGATCTATCTATTCATTTAATCAACAAAATAATTCGCGCGGTTACGGTAGCACGCCGCAATATGCAATTGCACGATTGAGACGAGGTGGTCGTACGTAATGCAGCCCGACATGATTTGAAAACAGAAAGGGAGACCTGTTGAGTTCACAATGGCTTACGCAACATAAGCTCTCCCTCTGAACCAGATCTCCTTCAGTAAGAAGAATGACACGAAAGAAATTGAAGGGGATCAATGAGCATGACCGCCGATGACGCAAAATACGGCAAATTTTTATTGGCCATCGTGCGATTCGCCATAAAAGTCATATGCGACACAACATGCTTTGAAATTAAGAATAATGAAATTCCATAAATTAAAAGCTCTCGGATGGGTGGGCCATGTATTCGACCCTGCTTTCTGATCTCTCTAAAGCAGGTATGGTTTAAAGAAAGTAACTCGCGTACCGATGTGTTTCAAACAAAGAAAGACGGTCTGCCGCCAAGATAAACACTGTAAACAACGACGCGTCGCAGTAGAACACAATGGAAGCAATCGCTGGCAGTGAGAAAGATTAGATAAAACCAAACCCATATTGGAAACGGATACATCTAATTTGAAAGCCAAGAAACGAGAGCCTTACGGAACTGACAGAGGATTAAGAATTACTACGATTAGGCAAATACAACCAAAAACTGCTGAACGAAGAAAATCTTCCAACAACGATTACGCTCGTTAGGAAAACTATCGCAAGAGGCCGCACAGTTTTACAGCAACGTGTGGAAGTACGCAAACGCCGCACAGTTCTCACGCTACACGTCACGCCACGCACTTTGATCGCTTATCCGGGCTTTTCTCCCATTTGATGATTCAAGTTTCCACTTTGATGGTGTTGATCAGTTAGATTGTATAACCAGCTACATCTAGTGTAGAATGGGAGAATATTCGCTTTTCAATCCGGCGGTAAACACGACTTTCCAAAAATTCACGTTATTTTACTTTTTTCTTATTTTGTACTGCATTATATTGCTCGCTTTCGTTTTTCTTTAGTGCTGGATGAACAGAAAATTATGTGTCAATGTTAAAAATATCATTTAAGATGGATTTTTCTCCTGGCGGAGCCACTCGGATTCCGCAGACTGTCATCGACTTGGGTGCCGTGCCTAATATAGATAATTTTGGTTTTTATGATTCTGGTGGTTATGAGACGGCTACTGCTGGAACTCATCAGTACCCTTCAGGTATGCTTTTTGTTTCCTTTATTTGGGATCAGGCAATAAGTCCTTTTATCAGAGCGTAGCTATTTCTGTGAAAGTTTCGAAGGTCTTACAAGCCAAGCTCATTCTACGGGTATTTTGACACTTCTGCTTGACTATCCATGTTCACTGTATTCGGCGAAAAACTGTGAAATAGTGCTGATTTGCTCGTACTTAATCATTATGTCTTTCCCCATGAGCACGCCAGGGGAAGTCTTTAGTGTTGAAGCGGCTTGACTGAATAAGAAGTGAAATGGAAGAGATGCTTTTCCGCTAGTAGGCCTGAAAGTGAAAAAAAGCGAGTTTAGGCTATGATACCGGTGCATCGGCGCTACCTTCTGGCAACATTTCGACTCATACATATTCAAAAGCTCAGTTAGGAGCTGCCGGAAGACTGCTGGAGAGTCGTGGTTTTGGATGGCTTCTTGAAGTGGAAGATGATTACGATACACAGACACCACTGTTGTAAGTTACCCATAGTTATTTATCGAATCTTTTTCTTCCGATTTTCGAAATCAATGCTTCAGAGAGGAGCTGGATATCGATCTGACCGATATCTACTACAAAATTCGATGTGTATTATTGCCTCTTCCCTACTTTCGGATGAAACTGAATATTGTGCGGGAATCGCCAGATTTCTGGGGACCCCTAATGGTCGTGCTTGCGTTTGCTCTGCTATCGATCTACGGCCAATTTAGTGTACGTCCGGTATGATTACTTGCAAGTTATTAATGCTTTTCTAACATTTAAGCTTTTTTGGGGAAGGGTGCACATCACTCACACCTATACTTTATGAAGGCAATGTTTTCGTTAGCAGTACTCAAATTGCTTAACTCTCAATCAGAATGGGATTCTGTTGACTAACAATAAGTCCTGGGAACTTGGAACACTGCAAAAGTGACACTGCCCGAAAACACAGTTTTTGAAAAATTTTCATGTTGGGCGACTTGTGAAAAGCCTTTTTTGCATCTGAGCTGAGCAAACTGAATAAATAAATTATGCAGTGATTTAAACACAGTATCGATTACTCACAATTGCCATATGAGCAATTCAGGCAGACCAGAACAATATGTACCTAAGTTTGAGTAAGGCCATCTGTGAACGCTACTCCCAGGAATATGTTTCCATTTGTTCCTAATATTACATCGATCTTTTTTCCTTGAGCGCCACATTCTTTTTATTATTTAGCGAATGTGATTGTGTTGCCCTTGATCTACTCCCCATGTCTTTCCTACTGGTGTCATAACCTTAGCAGCCCAACAAAAATATCCCGCTGCTCAACTAACCTTTTTCTGATTCTTCCTTGTCCGGTAAAGACGATTAGAGTTTTCTTCCCTAGTCCCACACCCTTAGGAGGCTTAAGTCCATAATAAGCGCGAACTAAGGCTTCGAAATTTTGCAGCACATGTGGAATTGAATGTAATTTGTGCATTGTTTAAGGTTGTGTCATGGATTTTGACAATGTGGTTCTGCGGCGGATTCATCGTTTATTTCATAGCTCGAGCTCTTGGAGGAGATGTAGGATATTCACAGGTTGATTTTTTAGTTTTTTTTTTTTTGATCACATCATTCCTTAATTGCTTTGCAGTTATAGCAATTCACAGGTTTTTTTGCTTAACAAATTTTCACATTTTACTGAGTGGTCTTTTCCACAGTTGTTCGAGTGAGATTTAGGTGCTTGGAGTTGTCGGTTATTGCTTGATCCCTCTGGTAGTCACTGGTTTCTTGATGACTATAGTGACGAGGTTTGTTGTTGTTTTCCAACTTCATGCATCTAAATATACTTTTTTGTGAAGGAAATCTATCCTGACACATGATTTAGTGCAATATTCTTCTTCTTGTTGCTTTTTTTTTCTGAAAATGACGAGTTCCTTGGGTTCCACTAGTCCACGTTCCAAGTGGACACATCCAACTTGTATCATATAAAAGGATCTTGCAGCAAAGGCAAATGGAATTGCTCTCATTATTTGATTTTGAGCGCAAGAACTATTTATTTGTCCCTTTGCAGTAAACTGAGAAACTAGAATATCCTCTTTTTACTCTCAGTGAAGGGAATCTACGTTTCAACTGGCATTTTGTAAAAACTAATCCTAATCGTAGCCGATTTACTGTTTGTTACTTATGCTATACAGGTATTTTTCGTAATGACATCAATGTAACTATTCAGATTCAAAATGCTATCATTGGCCCTTGGCATTTTCGGGGTTGGATGGAGCGTCTACAGTGCAGGCACATTGCTGTGCGTCGATGAGTTGCAAACCAAGAAACCACTTCTTCTCTATCCAGTATTTTTGTTATATGTCTATTTTTTCTCTTTGTACTCTGGTGTCTGACAAACCGTCATAGTACGGTGGCTGGCTCAACCCCTGTGCTCAGTTCTACGATAGTAGGTAGGTACAATGGCGGTCGTTCCCGAAGTCATTATGGAGAGTAATAACGCTTTTTACCAGAGATTCTATTCAGCTTGAGAGTGGCCATGTTGGGAAAGCAGAAAGCAATGAGCTCGCCATGAACTGCGCATTTACCCTTTCCGGGCATGACTCCCTTCGAAACTTTATCGAACTCGATCTTTTCCCTAATTATTATTCTTAGAAATTTCTAAGATTGTTGTACACACCGGGATCAGCAAATGAATCTTCTTCTCTTTTGTGGCAGTTTTTCGCTGTTCCTTTTTCCCGAACGAAGTTTGGTTAAGCGAAAATTAGGTTACCTTATACGAAACTTTACCTATCAAACTTGTACATAATCCTTCTCTATCAGAATTATTCTATTTCAACCTCTTTCCTATGTAGTTCAAATTAACCGACATTTGATTTAGTTACCTGTGATAGTGCTGTTGTGTTTTAAATTTCGACCATAGATCGAGACGGGCAGTTGTGGTGTTACTTATAAAGTTATTTGAATGCACCTGGTTTTGCGTAGTCTTTAAAGCAACGAAGGTGTTCGAAGGTGTCATGAATAATCGCTTTATCGTATTCTATGTGTTCGCCTTCCCTTCGAGATATAAATTTTGTCGGCGTTGTCCCGTACCACCGCCAACGTGAGAGGTCTGAAGTTAAAGTTTGTTCAAGCTCTCAAACTAATCGGGCGACACTCAAAGACAGTTTTCGGGTTATTGAATGTGTGAGAAGGGAAAACCTTTGGAAGTCGAGAGGGACTGCAGAGAACCTGTAGAAATAGGGTATGCGCTGAGCTATTTACATGAAGAATCTAAGTGAAAAGTATATGAAAGCTGGGCGGATTCTATACAGGTTCTCATTCCTGTGGACTTCCACATTATTAATGCAGATAAGATCCACCCTGATATTCGGGAATATCACAGTGAATCAGATCAGGGGTGCCGTTGATTACGCCAAGAAATCGAAGATCAGTTGGGCCGGATACGTTATGCGATATAGTGATGACCGTTGGACCAGGGCGGTTACTGACTATGGGACGATCCCACGAGACCAGAAGCGGACACCTGGACAGACTCCAACGCGATGGTCAGACTTTTTCACGAAAGCTCTGAGCGGAATGAATGCTGGACCTCGTGTCCCTGAAGCGAGGACGATTCACTAACCACTCTCTCATGACAGGGACAAATGGAGACGTGACTAGTGTCCGCTCGATACTCGACACTCCTAAATCGATTATCATAGTGGTGACGACAGGTGATACAGGTGATCACAGAGAGACTAGGACTTATATATAGAGTCGCTTTCTGCCTACAGTTCATACTAAGGCAGAGCCGTGTTTTTAGGACTCTCCAACAATCAAGAAACGTTGTATGAGGTAAGAGACGCAAAGAAGGTGTAATAACAGTTTGTGCAGTGGGGATGGCATAATACATTTTCTATTTTTTTGACGGTCTGTCCTAGTCACTAACCTGTTGGCAGGACATCAGTGGTAACTACATAACGAATCCTGAACGACCGTCGGATTGTGACCATCAGTCTTCATCATTTGACTTTCTGCTGTCTCTAGCTAATTCACAGAGCGAAGTGTCAAATGGCACCACAAACTATTGCTGCGTATCTTCGAGAAGTCAATGGGTTGGCCAAATTGTTTACAGTATTATGTACATTGACACTAGCGTCAGCATTAGACTCTATCTGCTTTCCAAATCTGAAACGACCGACAAAGTGAAGTGACTGAAGAGTCCTTCAGCAGGCGGAAAGTGGAAAGGATAGTCCGGGAACCAGTGTTCTGGGTGAGGGAGACCCATAACATTGGAGTTTTCAGAGACGGTTCTTCCTATGCGACTTACTGCTTGAGAACCTAACACTTGTCCCTTGCCCATGCCCCTTTATTACAGTGCTCTGCCGTAAGAATAATTCGACGACTACCTGTGGTATAGCTGCGAGACTCTTATGAACAGCTGGGATCAGGATCGCCTACATTGAATTCTGACGCAAATGACCAGGGCCCTCCCAGTTTGAGGCTCACAGGAACCACTTATGAAAATTAACGGTTTCCATCCCCCCATCTTCAGTAGCAAGGCATTCCAAGTCTCGAAAGTAACCACAAGAAAGTACGTATAAATTGTGTTCGCTTCATGAAGATACCAAAACCATGTTAAATCCCTTCAACTCGTTTCCGATTTCTGCAATACGGGGAAAGAAGTGTTTTGATCAAAAGTTTTATCTTTATGTCGTCTTATTATAGCTGGATGTTTTCGTAGGCCCTATTCATGTGAATTATGGGCGAACCTACACGTTCAAATAATGGGATTTCCAAATGGGTCTTGCTCCAATTCCCATTTTGGCCATTAAAATACGAAAAAGTCCAACATTTCCGTGGAGCTATTTTCGAAGCACATTATATTAGGCTTGGCGTAAGGATGAATACTGTAAATGGACAAGGCCGTCGATTGCTATATGAAAGATTGAGGCGATTTAGTCGTCGAAGAAAACCCTAACGTTAAGGGCTCTAGGGCAAAGTTTGTCCGATTTTTTTTTTNTTTTTTTTTTGGGTGATAGCTCTTGTACCCGATCGTGAGTTTTTACGGCAAGCGGCAATTACCGTAATCTTCCACTGAAAAGACAAATTTTCTCCCTTCACAGCGCGGGTGCAAGAACCCGCATGCAATCATACTGGGGAAGGGTAGTGTCAGAGTATGTGGCCAAAATTCTGGCAGCGAGTGAAATGCCAAAAAGGCAGAGAGAGTGATAATATCGAAACTGTTGAGACAGGTTCAAAGGGACAGTTCACGATGAAAATGGTTTCTGAGATTTCTCCTTGGAATGAGCCTGTGGCCCCCAGAGACAGCACAAGGGACGCCGTCAGATCGAGAAACGGCATAGATAGGACGTAATGAAGGCTCCAAAACGAGCCTTATCCACGTACAAACCCAGGGCGGACGAGTTGTCACGGCGTTTTAGAGGCTGTATATGTCGCACCAGGACGTACACCTTAAACCCAGGCAGCTTACTGTAGCCAGCTGTACACACACATTTGGGCAGCTCGCCCGAATACCCCTTCCATGTAACGTTTGTCGCCACATTCTTGCCCAACCCCTAATTTTACTACTTTTCTGAAATCTTATATTCCCCTAAATACGCCGATTTTCACGTTTTCTTCACCACTTCTGCATCATACTGTTCCATCATTTCTATTATTTGTCAAAAATTTGATATCCCAAAATAATCGCAAACTGGCCCTCGAATTAGAGCTCCTCCAAACACCAGCGACAACAGGTTTTCTAAAAGTAATCGAAAAAAGATGAATTTTTAGTGGTGACTCCGACGATTTCTGTTGCTTCTTTTAGAGCACTGACAGTTTGCTTAGCTCGTAAAACTTCATTTTTCAACTTCACCCCAATTGTATGCATCCAGTCATCGTGAAGCGTTTTTTAGATCTTCTACCTGAACCGATTTCTTCACCTAGTCGTAGCGTTTGGGCAACGTTGATGAATTATGGATGTAGACGCGAACGAGGATGTTTTGGAGCCAGCTAGGGGATGATAAATTGTGGGGAAACTGGAAAAAGAAGTAAAGTTGGCTGCCAGGTCAAGCTCTCGTCCGCAAATATCGCATTGTATCTGATGTTATCACCCGATAATCTTAGCCAGCCACAAACCCATACGGACTTCCCCAAAAGCTAGTGGGAAAAGCTGCTTGGTGACCTTACCAGTCACTGGCTTACTGTGTCCTACCAATGCATCCAATGCATCTTGCAGCCCGTATCCCTCATGTACTGCCTAGCGGTAGTGTAAGTTCCACACAGTGGGGAAGTCCCCCACACAAAAGATTATCGCGATCATTGCCTTAGAAATTCCGAAGGCCGTTTATGCGCTGTTTCAAAGAGCGTCCGATTTCAAAAAGTATGCTCCGCCGACGTTTTTCACTATACTAATCGCCAAATTCACTGCCGCCACTGTACATTCACATTCCAAAGGTGATCGTTCATTACCCAATTGTCACTTTTCGGCTATTTTCTGTAGTCAATCACGAAGGTATGGAAGCCACTGCTGTCGGATCTACATGTTCGCAAATACATCCGCTCAATATTTTGCCAATTTTTTCTTGGAAAAAAAAATAGATGAGCTAGCGATGAACCCCATATTCGTGTAGCTTATCGTACTCCACACATATTTGCGATTCCTCGGTGGTCATTGATGTACAACTTTGTTGTAACATCAATATTACACCTTTTGGGAGACGAGCAGTTGAATCGCTTTGTATAATCAATTCGCCGCATGCGCGTGTCGCAGACTAGTTGCCTCGTTATTGCAGCTCTAGCGTCAGCGACAGCACTCTCGAGTGGGGTGTGGTGCGTTAGGAACGAAATGGTCGCGTCGCGGTGAGAGGAGCGTCGCGCGCGAAGGAATGTAACAGGATGCAGCTTTAGGTAAGAAATACAAGAACAAAAGCACTAATAGTAGAATTATGCATAAAATAATGATCGCATATCGATTGAGCTGTATGAAGAACGCTAGAGCTGTAATAACGGCGAATGAGTGGTCCGCGACAGCCGCGTGCGGCGAATCGATTACCCAAATCGTTCCTAACGCCCGTCCCCCCTCCCGAGTGTATCCATGCAGAGGTCCCCACTCACCTTCAGGCTCTCTGCTACAAAAAAACTGACCAGTGGTTACGTCATGCCTGCAAGTTTTCCACCTAAGTATCCATTTGTCAGCTTCTCCTCTTTCGTCCGCTGAAGATGAGAACTGGAACCTCTAAAATTCTCGCAGGCATCATGCCCGAAGACTCTTCGACGCAAGCTAAATAGGAGCTTCACCCTGGAGAATGTCTCCTTTGCTACTTTTGGGAAGCGCATAGGATGTTTTACCGGCTTCACGAGCTTCTTGTACAAGGAGACACCGGTTCCAGTAACATCTACACCAATCATT